ATTTTGTATTAGAGGCTCATATTCGTGACACCGGATTCTATTGGGCTATGGTGTGGTATTTTAGTTGAATTTCCGCAGATTTTATTATTAATTATACACTTGAAAGTGATGACTTAGTAAATTCTCTGTGATATTTATCTATAATCTGAATAAGAATTTGGGATAATGTTGTTGAATGGTCGGACTTGCCTAGCAGTATGTTGGGCGCCATCATGACCGGGGTTGTGGTCGTGACAATATGAGAATTAAATGAGATAGATTATTAAAAAATAAATGGGTTTACCTAATTTGACTGCTGCAAAATAGCTCTTCTATTGCAAGAGCTCTTCTGTTCTGCTTCTTAACTTCGAATGTTCCTCTCCTCTCCTTTGCGAATCGGGGTCTCGGACTGGCCTAAGCTAGGCCTCAAGGTTGAGCGAACGAGCTCGACTGGAGATGGTCGATGAAGGACTAACAGTTCCAAAGGTTTCAATGATGGCTCTTTATAATCAATGATGAGTAATAAATGAGGAACAATCAATGAAATACAATAAATGTAAGCGATAAATCAAAGGAAAGACAACGCAAAATATTTAAATTAGAGAGCAAAGAATGTTCTTGTTCTTGTATTGAATATCATATATCTTACAAAATGATAAGGGTCGTTTAGGAGGGGGAATCCCAACATAGTCCAGGTGCATTTATTACAAAGATAAACGGCTGGTACAACCATTTAATGTTATGGTACGGATTTGTACTAGTTTAGTAGACCTGGTCAGCTCTAACCACGTGCCTTGGGAATTTCCCGCTTGCCCCTCATAGCCACTGATTTGCACTACCCCGAGGTCGAACATAGGGAACCCTCAGAATCGAACATCGAGTTGTGCCTCGAGCCTTCTGGAGACGGGCTTATGAGTGTCATAATAATCCTAAAATCGGACTCTCCGATTTTAGCCGTATACAATAAGTTTAACAAGAAATTAATAGATGAGAAAATTTAGTAATTGACTTAAACAAATAAATTACAGTAAATCTGAGCTATGTAGAACTATTAAGACCAACCGAAATAAATCACTTAAAAAAAAAAGAATCAGACAAGTGTAAGGAAGAGGCCGCTTATGAGTTTGGTAAAAAAAGTTGAAATATTTTATATACCCAAACAAACAAAATCACTTGCACCCATTTTCTGCACTGGACCTTACAATTCACAAAATAATGTGAGAAAATATACCATTAAATGTTAGTTAAATGACAACAAAATTTATATATGCAAGTAGAAACGTCTAGTATTCATCTATTTGGTGTCAACATAGGACAAAATTTTTCACACTCATCAATTGAGTAATTTTTTTTCAAATCATAAGCAGACCTATTTCTCCACATCATGAATTATTTTCTATTTCAGGAAACAAATATTGTTTCTATAACAAAATATTTTGTTTCGTAGTTCATTATCAATATTATTTTAGTTATATAAATCGTTTCCACGAGAGATCACTAAAAAGTAACAAATAATTTTTAGTAAATAAAATATATTAGATCTTTATTAAGGTATTTTTATTTGAGCATGAGATATTATTTTATCTACTCTTTTTCTATTTATATTTTCTTTTCTTCGATATGGTAGTAAAAGTATTTTCTTGCAATGAGATTTTCTTTTTCTTTTGATTTTTCGAAGGTATATATGTCATTTTTTTAGGAAGGTAAGAAGTACAAAATATTTCAACAAATAAAAGGATTCATTAAATTTAAATGAAAATTTAAGAAAAAGGAAAAAGGACAAAGAACAAAGAAAACGAGTGAGGACTGGACAAGTGGAAATAGGTTTTTATTTTTATTTATTAAAGCAGCAAAGGAAATACTAATACTACTGTTGCTAGTTGCTACTAAACCCTTCGTCTTAAACCCCTTTTTTCTTCAAAACTTCCTCCACAGCCTCCAAGCCAAATAAAAGTACAAAAAAACATCCGTCAATTTCCCTCCCTCTACGGCGGGGAGAGACGTGGGTTTAGTTGTTTTTCTCATACAAGTATTGCTTCACCCCTTCCAGCTCAAATATACACAAGCTTAAATTTGCCCTAAGTTGGGATTGAATACTGAAGTTTAATCTGTTCCAACTGGAATTTGAAGATGGCTCAGGTATCTCTTTTTATTTTCAAACTTTTGATTTTTTTGCCGAACCTCTCCTCATATTTTTCTTTCTCCGGCAGAATCAATGGTATCTTTATGCTTAAGTATCCTTTTTTCTTAATGATTTTTCAACGATTAAACATAATTTTTAGTGAATTTGAAGTTACGAGCTGTGTATACCAGTGGTGGAGCCAGGATCTTATATAAAAAGGATTCGAAATATGTCACACCAAGAATTTGAAGTCATGACCTAAAGGATTTTTGAACCTTCTTTGCTACTTTATTACTTATAATTTTTCCTCAGTGGATTCAACAGCTTATATATAACTCAAAAAACTAATTTTTAACCTATTTGCACGGTATAAGTTTCAGAAAAAGGGATTTGAATGAACCCTCTTTCTCCGAGCTAGCTCCACCACTTATGTAATATTTATTATTTGTTTATTTTTTGATAATATGGTGTCCGGTCAACTTACCCCTACCTACACCTGGTAGTTGCTCCTCTCACCTTCCCTCTATTCACCAAGAATTTGGCAGATGAGAAGAAATTACCTAGTTTTTTAATTCAAATCTTGGTCTTCCATGGTTCGTCCCAACTTTATTGACCACTTAGCTCTACTGTTTGAAACATGTTAGCTTCATGTAAATGCTCCATGTAACTAATTTGTTATACTTATAATCTCCCACTAATTCCCAAAGTGCAAATAGGGTGATAGTATACTATCAGTAACATTACCTGCTTTGTCTGAAAAATACTTTAGGCTACATGTATTTTGGATGTATATTCTTTTGTGGTTATGTAACAAGAACGGTTGCTGCTTTTATAGGGTGCATCAGAGGCCGTTGAGGCGGTTCACTTCAGTTTTATGACGGATGAAGAAGTTCGTAAGCATAGTGTTGTAAAAGTCACAAGCCCTAACTTGCTTGATACATTAGGCGGACCACTGCCTGGTGGGCTTTACGATCCAGCAATGGGTCCCCTTAGTGAGAGATCTCAGTAAGCTTCTGTAAATTTTGTTACCTTGAATCATAAATTGATATTTGTTTAGATAAATAAATTGATGTAAGTTTCTGTAAATTTTGTTAGTATTAATCATAAGTTGACATTTGTTTTAATAGGTCAATTGATGTGTGTATATATATTTTGATCAGTAGTTAAATACTATTAACAGAAAGCAGCTGAGCACAAAATTTGTGCTGGACATCACAAAAATGGGAGGCTCCCCTATATAAAAAAAAAAGGCAAAGGGGCTCCCCTTGTGCTCCTGTGATGAGTCAACAAAATCAACCTTGCTGTTCTCATCAGACACATCTTGTAGCTTACAGGAAGATGCTAACAGGCCTAAACATCTATATCTTAGAATCTGGACTAATCTAGCTCTGTCATAAAAGCTCCTTAAATCCTTTTCTTCCCACCAATACCTAGCAGACTCATGCTGGAATAGTCGTCCAATACTTATTAAGTACCTATGAAGGCTGCATTTCCACCAATCATCCAATGGTTCTCTGATTGACTGTGACATAATCCAATGGTGTCCAAAAATATTGAAGAACAGCCCGATGACTGCCTCGTAACACTGCAATGTAGGAACAAATGATTGTTGGTCTCCTCTTCTGTGTTGCACAAAAAGCATCTGTTGCACGAAGATCTCCCTTTTTTTCTGGATTTTTTTGATGAAGTTATCCCTTTATCTGGAAATTATTTTGGGTATGGCAAGCTCATAGGCTGCTACCTACATAAAGCAAGCTATCTTTCTGTGATAGGAAAATTGGTTCTGTGATTGCAAGAATGTGACTTAGGGAGAAGAATCTCTTGACTCAGGGGCAGCCGAATCTAATTTTATATGAGCTCCTGTTTTCCATATCGTTTTCCAGGGCCACTCGTTTTAGTTGTTTGTCCCACTGTTTAGCAACTTGTAGCATAAGCTGAGGGAGAATAACCCCTATTCTGCTGTTTCCAGGTGAGTGAGTCAGCCTCCTCCAAATTCCGGCGCACCTATTCTAATTCTTGGATGCAGAGATAATCTGTCCACTACCTGGTCGAAACACTGTCTCCTGAAGTTAAGGTTCCATGCGTCTCCACTTCTACATTGACTAATTGCCGCTGCATCCACAGCCAAGTTAAATAAGTCAGGAAATCTAATTTTAAGGGTGTGGACCCATCCATGCATTCTACCAAAATCTTGTACTCCTTCAGTCCCTCTTTAATCTCTGTATTGACCTTAAAAAGTAACCATAAATCCATACCCCAACTTCATGAGGGGAACTCACAGCTGAGTGCATCAGACTCTATTTCTCCCCTACTTACAAGAGATGACATTTCACCATTGATTACTGTCCTCCTTGCTATATCTCCATAGCCACTTTAGCAGCAACCTATTATTGTGAAGTTTCAAGTTTCCGATTCCGAGGCCCTCCTCTTATCTTGTCCTATGTCCCACTTTATGAGGTGGAAGGACCTCCTTTCTTTGTTGCCTTCCATAAGAAGTTCCTTCTCAATTTGTCTTAGGCAAGCATTACCTTGCTTATGATTGGAAACAATGGCATCATATAGGAAGGGAGTGCATCACGTACACTATTAATCGGAGTCACTCTACCTGCAATGAGTAGATATTGCATTTTTCATATTGCCAAACTCTTCTTAAACCTATCAATAATGCTATGCCATACAGAGTGAGCCTTATACTGGTTATACATAGTCACCCTAGAGGCATTCCAAGGTATGTAGTGAGGAGGTTTCCCACTTGGCATCCCAAATTAAGTTGACAGGGAACAGAAAGCTTTTCGCTGTATAAACCCTCAATCTTGAAACAGCCTAAAAAAGTAAGAGCATCACCCTTAGGTACCTTGAATGTCTTTCCTCAACCTTGAATGTCTTTCCTCAGCATCACAGAGTGTAAGGGTGTCATCCACATATTGTATGTGAGTGATACCATCCTTTGTGTATCCAAGCCCACTCTGAAGCCTCTAATCCAACCCAAAGACATTGCGTTGCACAATATACTTGTCCTTCCATCACCAAAATAAAGAGGGAACGGTGATTAAGGGTTTTTCCTGCCTTAGCCCCCTATAGGAAGGGAAGAAATCTTCCGGGGCTCCATTTATAATCACTGGAATCCTTAATGTTGAAATGCAAAAAATAGTCCATCTAACCCATTTTTCACCAAATCCTTTCAAAATCTTCAACAGAAACGACCAATTTACATGGTCGAAGGCTTCTTCAATGCCTAATTTGCACATAATATCAGCGTCTCCCCTCAAGTGTTAGGCATTCATGGCAATGAGAACCACGCCAGTGATTATCTACGTTTCTCAAAAGCCACCTGTGTGTCAGTCACTAATTTAGGGATTACTTTCTTCAATCTTTTGGTCAGTAATTTAGCTATGATTTTGTAAAAGCTCCCCATCAAGCTAATAGGTCTAAAGTTCTTTAACTGATCAATTCCTTCCTTTTTTGGGATCAATCCTATTAAGGAGGCATTGAATCTCTCAACAAATACTCCAGTCTGATGAAAGAAGTTAATAGTCTCAGTCGCATCAGTTCATGAAACAGCAATGTTTTTAGAAAGCCATATTAAAGCCATCCGCGCTTGTCTTCTCTCCTTCACATCCTTTAATGACTTCCTCAGCTTGCTCCGCGGAGAAAAGCCTTTCAACCCATTCTTTCTTCATGTCTATGATTCTCGGATAGTGAGCTTTGAAGGAAGGCCTCCAACTTTAGTTGATATATTCATATTTAAATGTATACTTCAAAGGTTGATGGTTGCCATAAGATAGAAGTAATTTGCATGGCTTTTATGCAGTTCAATTGCCTTGCTTCCCTTTAGGAGAGATGTTTTGTCAAATTCTCCTTCATCCAGTAGCACACAGTTATAGACTTGGACAAGCTTATGTTCTTAATGGTGTAGGCCATAGGTAACTGATTGCATTACTCAGAAAATGCTGCTTTATATGTTGAATTATGTTCTATTTAGAAGTCATACCTGTGTACCTTTTTTGGATGAACTAGATGTTAGGGGACTTACTATTTCTCATTGTCTAGATGTAGCAAAATATTCTTTGGTATGTAATTTTCAAGAGCATATGCCCTAGTGAGGATGCTTGAGAATGGTAAACAATAGCACGGTACATACCTAGTTTCCTGTCCAGGCAATTTGGGTTTCAAGATACTTTCTTCGGAAACTGTATTCCTTGACTCTGTCCAAGTAATGGGTTTGTAGATTTGTCCTCTAAGATTTGGAGGTTTTTGTGGTTGTTAAGTAATTGCTGTTTTGGTTTCTAAAAGTTACCCTACCTGGTGATGATAGTGGGATGGCTTGGATAGGTGTTCAGATACCTATACCGCCAGCCTTTTCAGAACCACCAGGAGTTGCGCTTTTTTTTTTTTTTTTTTTTTTTTTTTTTTTTTTTTTTTTGATAAAGTAAATTTTTTATGAAATAGCAGTATCAAGAAAATACTGCATCAAGTACATAAAATCTAGATTTGAAACATCACATCTCTATAAAATCTAACAAGTCTAGCAAATCCTGGAAATTAAATACACTTTTCCCATTCTTCCAATAATACAAATTTTGAATGCATCTAAACTTCACCACTTGAAGCTGCTCACTTTTGCCCTCAAAGCGTCTTATATTTCTCTCTATCCAAATTGTCCATGCAATGCACAATGGAATAGTAATCCAGATCTTCTTCTTATACTTCCCGTCATATATTGACTTCCAACACTCTAGCAATTCTCTGAACTTCTCAGGAATAACACTTTGTACAGCAAAAATAGTCATAAACATGGTCCAAGGCCACACTGTCTCTATCTCTGAGACAGATTTAATAAGTTCTCTATAATAAGAGTTCACAGTAAACACCGCCAGGAGTTGCACCTACTTTTCACTACTAGATAATCTTTTTACTGCAAATGCAATTGCAATTCTTTACTAGTAGAGGAGGATAAATTTTATTGCCCATGCAGTAGTTTTAGACGCTGTTTAACTTTTTTTTGAGAAATGGTAAGGTATTATAGATATCAAAAGACGAGTGAGTGCTGTTGTTACATCCCAGAAAATAACCAAAGAGAGAAAAAAGAAACCCTATTTGTCCATACAAAAGAATCTATGAATTCTAGCAGGGTTTCACTATCATCTATCCAATCATATTTACACCCAAAAAATATCGACAACATGCAGTCTGATTTGATCTTCAAGAATGAGTTCTCCTGTCCTTCCTCTCTTTCCATATGTGCCACCAAATAGCTGCTGTTATTGTATTCCAATCTTTCTTCATTTACTTTGATAGCCCCTTTCTATTCCAGCAAGACAGTAACTCAGGAGTAGTGCTTGACATCACCCATTTACTTCCCAAAATGTTCAAGAATAATTGCCACAACTGTGTGGCAGCTCCGTAGCGTAGGAATAGATGATTGATAGTTTCTGCCTCCTCTTTACACATATAGCACCTGTTAACTATTTGGATTTCCTTCCATGGAAACCCAAATTTGATTGGGAAGTGTAATTTCTATTGAGTGCCACACTATGCTAGAGTGCTGGTGTAATGATTTGATTTTGATAATTATAGTACTCTTTGTCTTTTGATTAAGTTAATATATTTGAGAAATATATTTGCGCATGGAAAATGTTTGTAGCTTGTTATGCTCAATTTTTTGGACTGTAGTACCTTGGTCCAGTTAATATATGCATATACAAAAAACGTTACCCTCTAAAAAAAAAATAATTTGTTCTTGTTCTGTTGGATGCTTTTTCTTTGTTATGTCTTTCTGTTGATTTCGCTATGTAATGACCTGTTCAGATGTAAGTCATGTGGTCAAGGTACAGTTCACTGCCCTGGTCACTGTGGCCATATTGAACTTGTTTCGCCGGTCTTCAATCCCCTGCTTTTCAATATGCTGCACAATCTTCTGCAAAGAACATGCTTTTATTGCTTTCATTTTAGGGCATCAAAAGAAGAGGTAAGTCTTTTTATGAAAGTATTATTAGTTCTTCCCTTTAGCACTTGTTTTGCCATATATTTTCCTTACTAATAATCTACGTTTCTTTTCTGAGTTAGGTTGAAAAGTGTGTCTCTGAATTAGAGTTAATCGCAAAGGGTGACGTTATTGGGCCCAAAACCATGGATGTTCTCTCTCCTGATAACTCTGCTGATCGGGAGGAAAGTGAAGGGAGCCATATGTCATGTACAACGGATGATTTGAAATTGCAAGATCGTTCTGAGTACAATAAGAGGCCATCTTGGGACAATTTCCAGTTTACTGAAGCTATGGCAGTTATCGATAGAATTCTCAAGACGAAATCTGAGAAATGTAGCAATTGTGAAACTAAAAATCCAAAGATCAATAAACCGAGTTTTGGACGGTTTCATATGGTATGTCTCATTGCATCACATTGGTCTCTTTAATGCGTCGTTCAGATTCCCTTTAAAAAAGATGCATTGTTCAGATTTCTTGGATGTCATGTTGTATGAGTTTCTGATATTACCAAATGAAGTATTGATTGTGTTATAGAATAGATGCTTTTTGTCCTAAGCTTTACGTATCATTTTCTAAAAAATAGCATGCCATATCATTTTATTGCCGACAGTGCTCTGAAACAAATCCAGCACGTAGGTACATATGGGAAATTCGTAGTGTGTAGCCATTCATGGTTCTGCGGAAGAATTACCAATTTTTTTCTCTTTTGGGGGATGGCGTTAGTTTCTAGGTCACCTTGCGTGTACCTTGACTGTCCAACGCGTGCTGCATCCTTCCACCTGGAAAAGTATCGAGTAACTCCGCCCATTAAAGTTTAGTTTAAGTAGATGGAAGGAAATAACTTGTTTGCCTCGGTTGATTCAAACTCTGATCTCCCATGATCGTCTACTCTTCGTTCTTGCCTGATATACTGTTGGGCCACACCATTATTTACTCCTTTTCAAGTAAACATGTGGTAGAGAAATACAATCTCTCTTACCTCTTCAAGCCAGCATTCCGTTCCTAATTCTATATCTCTCAGCTCTTCAAATAAATACTCCTTAAGTCAATACCATTTTCCCACCTCTTTGCCTTGGGAGAAACCAATTGAAGATATGAATAGTTTCATAAAAGCTTTATTACATGTACACTAGGCTGTTAAGAACTTAAGATTAGCATGGCCCCTGTGCAAGGATGACACACAAATCAAGAAATGGTCCAAATTCTTAGAAGGATTTTTTGTGAATGTGAAATAGAAAGAGTTGGACTTCTACTAAATGCTGCAGAAGGTATTGTGGTAGATAGTTCGCAAGGGATTCACTTTTCTTGTTAGGAAAGAAGGATGGAATTTTCTCTGCGAGCTCCTGTTGTAAGCTGTTGTTGAAGAAATTGTCTGGAAATGATGGTGTGTGGCCTTTGAAAGTTATTTGGAAACCAAGGCTCCAAGCAAAGTTTCTTGCTTTGGGTGGATTGCAACACATGAAGCATGTTTGAGGCAGGAAAATTTGCAAAGAAGGGGATTTAATCTTTGCAGCTGGTGCTACTTTTGTAGAAAAATGGGAGATAGTGAATCATCTACTATTGCATATCAGGTTTGTTTGGCAAATATGGTGTATGTTCTTGAACTTGTATGGGGATTCACCAGGTGATACCTGCCAACATCAAGCAAGCTTTATGCAGCTGACAAGGACAACCTTTTAGGAAAAAGCAGAAGGCGACTTGGTTGTGTGGTAAGTATGACTCGATTTGAAAGAAATTATAGGTGCTTTAAAGGAACCAAGGAGAATATCAGTTTTGTTAAAAATAGATGTATTCGGAATCTAAAGTTATGGTGTAGTGCCTCTTTTGATTTTTCAGTTGATATAATGCTGGATTTCCTAGATTCCCTTCAGGTTTGAGGGATCTGCTTCCAGTCGGCTAATTTTGTAACGCTGCAGTATCATCTTGGTACTGGCTGACAGTTCTTTTAATAAAATTTTACCTTTTACTGATTTGAAAAAGGTTGTTAACCTGGAGAGCATGACTGGTGAGATGTTAATCTAGTGGTGGTCAAAGAGGTGTTTATTCAAACCCAGAACATAAGTCCTCTTTCCCTGGTAAAGCTATCAGCCTCCCCAGTGAAAGTACAACAAACAGAAAAAAAAAAAGAAAACCGTGTTCAATAGGTGAAGAACTAAATAGCTTGACAACTGTTCTTTTTCTCAGTCTATATTGCATAATTTATTTGTTTATATCTGCAAGTGTTGCTTTAGCCGTCCTGCAAGTTTCCATAATTGCAGCTTCCTATAACATGTTCAACTTAACATTCTCTATTTGGATAAACTTTTTCTTGATAATCAAGAAATCCCAAGGACCAGTGACGCGCAGTTTGAACACTCGGTGGATAATAAGCCCGTCCTTTTACCCTTCTCCACTTAAATACCAGGCTTTTGTTTGCGGCATGGTTCACACCTGGGACGTGTGCCCAACCCACAAATCACAAGCTGCTCTCTTGCCACCAGACTGAAGCCCTGGGGGCTTTTTTATTTGGATAAACTTTTGTTATTAACATGTTCTAATTGTGACTATTTCTCCATTTCTACTAGTACTTTACTTTTTTGATTGTGAACTTTCAAAGTACTATTGTCCATCCTGCTATCATTCTGGTTGAGCATGAGTTCTGTCATGGGCTGCTTTCCAGACACGCCCCATGACCCCTTGGCCGCGCCCCATGGCGGCCTAG